GGTCGATCATTTGAAATGATGAGTACTGATGAAAAAAAACTAAGAAATCGATGACTTCTAGATTACGGCTTAGTGAAATATAAATCCTCTACACGTTTCTTGAGGACCTATATTTTCTCGCATAAAGTTTAGATGAAATAAAGTCATTTTTTACTGAAGAAGATAAAAAAAAAGACTTGAATTGGACTTGTACTAAATCATTTTAATAAAATACTAATATAAAATAATATAGTCTATTAATATAGTCTATTAATATAGTCTATAATTAAGTCTATTAAAAATTGAAATAAGTGAATTGCAATGGAAAAACCTGCATAAACAAATAATTTCTAGTAAAACAAATAAATTCGTGATATAAATCAGAAATCGTCAAATAAATTCGTAATATATAAATTAGTGAAAAAAAGCGCTTTCGACAAAATACTAAAATAGAGATCTATCGACAAAGACTACTCACTTCTGCCTATAGCTTATGCTCTCTCTGGTTATTTCAGTTTCCATTTTTAAAAGCGCTATATGTTGAGCCATTTCAGCTAGATTTGGCATGTGACATTTTTAGCGGCAATCATTGGTCGATTTTCTAGCGTTGCCATTCGGGGAGTTGTAATGAGGCTTTTTTTGTCGCCGTGTAAGAGAAATATATATATAGATGTTTTAAATAAGGGAGTAGAATTTTTACGAAAAAAAATTAATTTCGATAAATTGATATATTTGATTAATGGTTTGCAATGTATTTTGCTAATATAATAAACTTTTAATGTATTTATTTTTTTTTTAAATATTGTTTCAAAATCGGTAATAGGTTAAACTAAATTAGGTTATTTAAAAACTTATAAAAGGACGAAAAAAAATCACATATAATCATATTAAGCTTTAAAAGAAAAAAAATCACATTAAGCTTTAAAAAGTTTATTTTATAGCTAAAAAATATGAAATTTTATATTAAGTGGTAGAAACTATAGAACTTTTATTTTTCAGGGACTAATTTTTTAAATTAAATTTTGAATTTTGTGTTCGCTTATTTTCTGAAAATTTTACTGTCCAAAAGTTATGACATGGCGGCTTTAGTGACCGCTACTTTGTTATAAGAATTATTTTATAAAAAACACCTGTGAAATAATTAATTTTATATTCTACTATAAATCTCTTTTCCTCTTTAATTTGTTAAAGTTTATTTCATTTCATTCATTCTTTTTTTTAGATTACCATTAAAAAGAATTGCTGGCACGGGAGGTCTTAAAACCATTGGAGAGCTTGTGGAATATTTAGTCAAAATAGCCTGGTGCGAAGATGATTAAATCAAGTATACTAATCCATGGAGTCAATACTTTAAAAGTCTTCAGTAGTGCATTGACATTAAATTAACTTTTTTTGCAATAGAATTATGTCGATCTTTGCACTGAAATCGATCTTGTTGGGGCCTTGAAATTTATTAATTTGAACTCAAAATACGGCTATAAGACTAGTAAAAATTTCGTCCTGAAAATCTTTTTTGAGAGATATTGTAAATAATAATAATAATAATAATGAAACGCGGATTGGTGAGGTTTGCGACAACCCATCATGATCAAGAAAGACGTCTCACTACTGGCCATGACTGTCTATTTAAAAATCTGCTTCGAATAAACATTGTTCCAAGTGCAATTTTTTAAATTTTGTAACATAAATGAGAAAATAGATGCCCATCACTCAATGTTGGATTTCTTTGGAAGAAATATTGGGAGCCTAGACACAAATTAGATTCTATGGACTATACTGTAGACTCACTTTATTATATTAATTCACTGTTTTTTTTTTTACTCTCTTTTCTGTTTTTCGCTTGTTTGTTAATTTTACAAAAATCGTTAAAGAACTTCAGTAAAGATTTCCGACCTTTTTGGTGTTCTCATAGAGCCAAAAACATGGTAAATTTTTCCATATTCTAGTAGTTTTGACCATACTTTTTTTTCTCAGTGTACTTTTTGTAAACTTGTAAAGTAAAACAATTATTTTAAATGCTCATTATTTTAAGAGAATATATTTAAATAGAATACAACTAACCAGGTACATTTTTAGAATTTGTTATTATCTTAGTATCCAAAATAAATAAATCAATTTCATAAAAACTCGTTTTTCTTACGAAAATACATTTCATATTTTCCTACGTAACAAAAAGTACGTAATTTAATGACTTATAACGTAGCATCGTAAAAAACAGGAATATAAGATGGGTCAACCAATAACAATTTAGTAAATAAAAATAAAATAGATGATGTCACGCTATTTTGAATATTCTAAATGTTATTGTACCATTGTATCTTTTTCAACAATAAATCTACCTCAAACATTTTTCGCCAATAATTATTGGACTGATAATTCTTGAAACCAATAGAAATGCAATCGTAAAAATTAAACTGTAAAAAGGGTTTATCTGTCGCCAGGGAGATGTTATTTATGAAAACAGATCAATTTTCAATCGTTTTCCTGATGCTTATTCGTTGTAAATGCCATTTTTTATTCTATGTTTGATGTATTATAAAAATATATTCTGAATTTTGAAGTACGTTCAATAATTGAGAGATACGTTCAATAACAATTTCTTGAAAAATTGATTTGCTGTAAGTATTATTAGAATCAATATAGGACGTAAATAAAATAAAAAAACACTATTTTAATTTTTGTTTGTTATTTGCGTTCTATTTAAGGATAAGTTTCTCTTCAAAATTTAAAAAGTAAGTCTATATTTTCAGATGGTAATCTCTGAAAGTATTGATTATTTTTTCAGCATTTAATTTAAACTAAATCCTCTTCTTTTGTTTAACACAAGTAAATGTTTCGAATTCTAGTTATAAACGAAGAATATATAAAAAATGGAATGTGATTCTTGGAAAAATAACAAAAATAACACCTCCAAGAATATTAAAATACCAAAAGTTTTTGCAGTTCAACATACACGTGCATATTGAAAAATCTAATAATCAGTTTTTCTTCTAAAATATAAAGGGGAAAAAAAAGAAAAACTTTAAATCTATGAGTGATTTTCAGCGCCTAAATTATATACAGAATATGAAACGATTATGTTACTAATCGTTTTCCAAATGCTTTTTGTTCTAATTCGGTGCAAATACTATTTTTTATTCTATGTTTATTTCTTTATGGAAATATATTGGGGATTTTAAGGAATAAACTACATTTTTTGCAACAATTTCTAAAGATAAAAATGATTTTATTTATGTGTTATTAGAGTCAAAATGTGACGCAATGCTTTAAAGTCCAAATCTTTATTTGCTACTTACTTTTTCGTTCTGTTTTGTTTTTAAAAAAGTTTTTTCTTCAAAAATTTAAAAGTAATGTATAAATAAATTTTCTTCCATGATGAAGTTCTCACATAAACAACAATATGGGAAAAATAACTAAGTATAATTAAAATAAATAAATAAACTAATAAATAAATATACAAAATAGAAAATCTTAAAAATATTACTGAATTATCGTCTATTACTGTTGCAATAAACAATTGACCATATAACCAGCATTAGCTTGAGTATAAAACGTATGACGCAAGTCCTCTGTGAAATCCTTTTCATGTGGTTTTAAAACAAAACGATTATTTTAATGCAAAGAAAAATAAGTGAAATATTTGGCAGGTATTTTGATTGCCAAATCAAATTGGCAAAATGTATTTCTATCTGATTATCTTACGTTGAAAAGTACGAGTTTTTTTTAAAAAATTAAATGTGATCGATTAGTAGCACTTCAGGTACTTTACTTGTTAGTACCGTTCTCAATAACAGTAATTTCGAAAATAGGAATTTTATAGGTTAATATATAATATGGAAAAGGTACATAATTTTAGACACATTTTTTAAAATTAAGATTAAAACATACCAATTACTATGATGTTCATTTTTATCTTTATACTCAATCGTCCAATAAAAGCCATTAAGGATTGGCCAAGTGTGAAAAACTTCAAAAGCTCCACAGTTTTATTTCAAATAACGAAAATATTATAAATCTTCTAAATCTATTAAATATGTCCCAATATGGTATTGTAGCAAAATAATACCAAAAAAATATATTAAATACGTAAGCTCTAATTGTTATAATCTTGGATCATGGTTTATTTGTAGACATTTTTAAGGCAAAAAAGGGAATGTATGAAACATAACAAAATATGCATTCTTGCGTGGCTGTAAATAATACATTTAAATTGCCAACTTAAAAACTGAACAAAGGCAATTTTTCAAACACCATCCATGTTCGCACTCCCGGCTACAAAAGGCTTACTGTCCTCTTCACAAAACCTTGAAATACGTTTCAAATTGTTTTTGATTGAGTTCACCAGCTCCTTCGAGGTTAGTATTAAGCACTATATCGCGTATTAGACACCTTACTCTACATTTTATCATTTTAACTCATCCAATAGCTTTATGGAAAAAGCTGACCAGGTGGCCGAGTGGTTAGCGTGCCTGACTGCGGAGCCGATGGTTGCGGGTTCGAATCCCGCTCAGGGTTTTCTCCTTGTGTGAATGTGATACGCGCCCTATAAACGAGTTTGTGGTTGCGTGACGTGGGCGACGCTGCTCCACCGCCGTGGCTTCGACACAGGTGCCCACAGGGTAGCGAGAAGAGAGTAGCAGTTCTGGCACTCCTGGCCAATGGGACAATACATCCCATGTGCCCACCATAAAAAGAAATATTGTCTGTTATTTTTATAAATGGAACAAATTTTTTATGAGTAAAAATAAATTCGCTTTATTAAAACGTGACTATTGCTTCTTTTGCACTTATGAAAGCTTATAGTGTTGCGGCGTACTCACTTCAGTGTGTTATATGGTTTTCTTTTATACATATTTTCTTTTAATCGTGAATATTTTTACGAATTTCAAGCATTTGGAGGGAATCACAGTAACATTTTGGGCAACCAAAGACTCGTCAAACTTATGGCCGGTGATCTGTAAATTTTTCACTTTTATCTTTATGAGTAAGTAAATATGAGACACTGAAAGTAAAAAGCTTACTTTATTGTCTGCTTTTCGAGCAATTTTAGATGCACCTTTCTCAGCTTCATGATCAAAAAGTGGTCTTATCCGAACAACAACCTGAAATAAATGTAACATTTACTTATAAATTCGAATAAATACAGCTTGAATACATTTTATATCTAAAAATTCAGTACACAGTTCTTGTATCCATAGACACAAATAAGTCACTTCAATAGCAAGGATCAAGAAAGTGCTAGTAAAATCCCATTCCCATTTTTTTAATGAAAAGGATTAGTATAAATAATACTAATAAAAAAATCTGAAACCTTAATCAATCTCTAAAAATGTCATAAGAGAAACTAACCAATGATGGCCAGTCATTAGGCTACATTTTTAATGCAGACACGAATAACATACGACTGCTAAAAACTTAAACCTTTCCCCAACTGGTCAAGCTGTTTTAATTTATTCAAATCCGTAAACAAATCACGTTTCCCAACATTTAATTCTCTTTGTAAAAGGGATTGAAACAATTATTATCATTAAACTCAGATTTTGTCCCACCGTGGTCAATACTGTCACTTTTCGCAAGATTAAGTTGGCCTTGTTCCATATTTGGAGCGTGTCCATCTCATGGGGGTAACGCCTCTACGTAAATGGATTTTATTAAAGGCCGTAAGGGAAAATTGTTTGTCCTTGAAGGAATCATCTAAAATTCAGTTGGTGGTCATCTTGTATTTTTAATAACTGCAATTACAATTCACGACATGCTACTTCATGCTATGATGTACGTCGCGCAAATGAAAAAACGGAACACCTTCATAACTTTTAATCGAATGATCAGATATAGACGTGCTGAGATATAATCTTAAATATTTAATGGCTTTAGTTTTAGTATGCCAATTATTTTGTGCAGATAATACTTTAAGTTAGGAGATCAGTCACATAAACATGCATCTTCAGAATAAACATTCCATTTTTTTAAACAGATTCGGATCCTTAATCTTCAACACTTGGGGATATCCAAAATCTGCATAACACGACCTTATACTTTAGTAAAGAGAGCGGTCGTGTTTTGGTATAGTTCCTTTAATGTTGATTTAATTTTTTTGCGTATTCCCCCATATCTTTAGAATTATTTAACCTAATTCAACAAATTTTGCACATAACTGTTAAACTCGTATATTCAAAGATAATTTCTTGCAACATTTGGGAATATGTTTTCCAGATCGTGGATCAAGAATCAGAACTCATTATATAAAAGGTGCGCTTTTTAAGAGAAAGTCCTTTTTTTGTGTCTGATTTCGTAACTTAAAAAATTGTTTTCACAAATTAGTTCGAATATTTCACGTTATCGTAGGCATTCGAACTATTAAGATTGCATTTCAGTAAGTGATGACTCGTTCTTTAGATCAAAAGTTGTTATGGTGATCCGTTTGCTTTTTGAGCACAGTACATTCATAGCTACATTAATGTAATATCATAAAAATAAGTAACGTATACACTGATACTGCACATTCGTTGATATATATTACATAATTATATAAAGTAGAACGATTGGTTTTGTTGAAAAAATTATAATCCTTAATAAGTATTTGATTAGTAAAAAGAGGTAACACCATCATTTTCTACAAGAAAGGTTTTATTTTAGTTTTTTACCTTCATATTTGTCGTGATTTCAATGTTTTAAAATTATTTGTAACCTAAACATTTTACATGTGATTTATTTAATACGAAAAAAAAATTTTAGCTTAACAAGAATAATTAAATTTATGAGAAATTCAAGTGATGATTTAAGGTTATTTTTATAAGTTCAATTTTAAACATATATAATGAAAACTAAGTTTAGGAATAAAAACCATTCCAGAACTAAGTTTTGAAATAAAAAATGATCTAAAGAAACATTCTGTAAATCGTGCAAAATTAAAAATCCTGTCTTCTCATACTATGGAAAAAGTAAATAGAGCTATTATTCTTAATTTTAATATAACAATCATATAACAATCTGCTTTTATGAAATAAAAATGAAGACAAATTGCGATTTTCTGAGTAAACAATTTTAAATAAGCGAATTTCCAATACCTTTTTCTCATTATAAAAATCATATTCTTGATTTAAATATAATAATTCGAAAGTATTAGTTTAAACTGTCTGTCAAATATACAATTTTTTAAAAAGGTTTTTATGTATTTTGTATTTTATTATAAATAAGAGAAAGCTATAGTCACCGCTACATAGATATTTTGCAATGGTTAACTTGTACTTCAAGTTTATAGATACAGTATAATTTGAAGTTCTTATCTAAAAATATTTATTATACAATTTGGCAATTTTTCGTTTCTTTTCGCTCAAGAAGTAACCAAAGCGAAACATAACACTATTACGGTTTCATTTTCTTTTTAATTAACTGTTTGAAACTCATGAAACAGATACAAATCAATTCGTTAATTCTGAGTATATAACTTTTGTGTTAAAAAAAAAAAGTTTAGATAAAATTAAAAATATCTAAGCCTTCATTTTCATTAATTATAAATAGTAGTTTAAACACTTACAAGAGTGTTGCCAGTCAAATCGATTGAAAAATTGATATGAAAATATGAAAGAGAAATTATTCACAGATATAAATTTTCCAACACCAATCAATTAATATTTCAAGCTGCTATCAAGCAAAAATATTCGACAGACTCGAGATTAAAAAACATTAAACTTCAGTTCAACAATAATGCAATTCATTATAATTTTATGGTAGCATAATTTCATTACTTGTAAAAATTAAAGAAAAAAAACGCAGAAAGAAAGATAGAAGAGAAAATAGTATACAAAATATTTTCTTAAATTTTGCTACCATTTATTTTAATATTTGAATTGAAATGAGTTCTTTTAGATTTTTTATTTTTTGTTTCCTTATTTCAGTACAATTCTATTAATAATAATGCACTTTCAAAAAAAATGTATCATAATATTAGTACTACGAACTATATGTTGCAAATCTTCTGCAACCATATATTGTGTTATTAAACATATTATAGTGTAGTCAAATGAAAAAATATGATATGACTTAACTTATCACCATATTGTTGCGCCAAATTTGAACTGTATTGTAGTTCAACATGCTCTAAACTTTCGAATAGAGTATTAAACTGCATATGAAATAAAAGAGGGAAAAAACGCAGTACCTTGAATAAATGATCGAATTGGCTGAATTTTTTTCGCATTAAATTGCAATTGCAATACCTTATTTAAGGAGCTCTTAGACGTAAGCACTACAGTTGATAATTGAAGTTCAAAATTAACTATTATTATTATTTTTTGGTGAAATGTATCTCTGTTATGACAAAATTGCTCCTTTGAACCCTAAATTGGTTCTAAGGTGGGGATAGTGACAATCCCTAAAATATTCTCACAATAGACTGGCACCAAGTTTGAGCATCATTAGCATAATTTTTACTTTTAGCATATTTCAGTCATTTCTTCAAAAAATAATTTCGCTGATCAAAATAAATTTACTCCCACTTATGAAACTCCTCTTATCCTAAGATGATTTCATGCAATATTTAATAATTACGTCATTTGTTGTCTTTTAATTATTACCAACTATGCTCAGTTTCAGTCAAAAATTGCACTTTTATTTAATAATACATTTAATATTAGAAACATTAAAAAAATATGATTTTAAACAAATCTGCTGACATTAAATATTATATCAAATAGAGAAAAAATTAATTTAAGAATAATAATGAATAATAATAAACACTTTTCTTTTAACAAATTTAAGACCAACGTCAGCTTGTTCGAAATTAGGACTTTTTATTTTTATTTCATGAGGCTAGATGAAAAACAGCAACAGTAGTAAAAAACAGCAGATCACTCATTTTACATAAATCGAATTAATTCTTGTGAGGATTATAAACAATTTTGTACTTAGTTATATCTACAACTGCACTCAATAAGCAAGAAAAAAAAAAGAAAAGAAAAAAAAAAGAATATGACAAGAAAAAAAAGCCATTTATTTTACAACCAGTTACACTGAAAAAAATAACGTATTTTGTTTAATTTCTGTCCATCAATTTAAAAATAAACCAATCAATAAATAAAAATATCAGTTAAAAAATAAAATGTAAATATAAATCTGTTTAAAAATGATATTTTTTGATGAGTACGTTATGTTGAAATTGTATGTTGGTACAAAACATTTTAATCACCTAGACTTATTGCGCTTATAACTTGTTTTATTAAAACAAAACGCATGATAAAACGTAACTATAGCAACTAATTTAATGCAAGGCTATCTTATTCAAATATTTTCACAATTTTTTATCATGTAAAAAATAAATTTAAATATGTTCCATTTCACAAGAGTTTAATTGGATTTTATTATCTAGAGTTTATAAATGATAAGTTACCATATGCTATTTATAGTGCTTTTTAATGAAAAACTCAAAAGTGAACAACGATAAATGTGAAGAAGGGTACCGAACGCGATGTTTTTCGTTCTAAGAGACCTTTAAAGAAAACTTGCGGTTCACAATAAGATAAATAGTTTCGAATTATGACTTTTGATTCATTGTACAAAATAAGTGATACATTCAAACTATTCGGTAAACAAGAGAGTAGTTTTGGATTTTTAGTATAAAATAAAACTCCTCAATTCTTTTCTATCCAAAAAGTGAATTTTAATTAGTCAAATATTTTCCCATCTGTTTGGCCTTCTTTCTGGTAACTTATTCTCAAGCTCATAGAACTTTTGGTCTTTATTAGCAGAAAAAAAGAAAAATAAATAAATTAACCAAGTGCTATTTAAGGACATTGTTTTAACTAAAATTTTTACCATTTAATAAGTTTTACAGTCCGATGGTGTTTGATAGTGCACCCCAAAATAGCCGGCCGTGAACCGGTGAACATTTGATAAAATTGGGAGGGAGGAGGAACGTTGATTGTTTTGATTTAATAATTTCAATTTAGTAGTATATAATCATGTCTTCAAGGGAATACAATTGCATGCGTGGTATTGGTGCCGCCGTACTTGATGTCTCTCAGCTCTCGGTTAATCTGTTGTCCATAGAATGTCATACAAACCTGAGAGAAATACACCACAGTACATAGAATGGAAATAACGT